TCAGAGTTTAAGATAGATAGATAGATAGATAGATAGATAGATAGATAGATAGATAGATAGATAGATTGAGATAGATAAACAAATTGAGATAGATAGATAGATAGATAGATCGATAGATAGATAGATAGATAGATAGATAGATGTGAACAGACTGAGATAGATAGATAGATAGATAGATAGATAGATAGATAGATAGATAGATAGATATGATCTGGGTAAGATATTAGTCGACGTAGATAGATAGATAGATAGATAGATAAATAGATAATGAACTGACAAATATAGACTTAAACAAACTGAGAAAGAGAAAGAGATATATATTAACAGGAAGATAATGTGTATCTAAATACTCAGCATGTATAAACACTTTATAGACATACACACACACACATATATATATAGACACATTCACACACACACACACACATATATATATATACATAAACACACATATATACACACAGACACACACCCATATATATATATATATATATATATATATATATATATATATATATATATACATATATATATATATATATATATATATATATATATATATATATATATATATATGTTTATACATGCTTGAAGTCAGTGTATGTCCGTGTTTTAACATTACTTGTCTTGCCCAAGGAAGCAAAAAGTAAAAAAAATATATAAACAAAGAAATGTTATTGATGAAACCCAATAAATCACAAATAATCATAAATACGACTTTAATAATAATAATAATAATAATAATAATAATAATAATAATAATTGTTTATCACTTGTGCATTCATTTTTTGAAAAGGGTCTGTGAAATTTTGACAAAACCTTATAAATCTGACATCTTCCCTCGTCTTTTTTTTTTTTAAAAAAGAAATTTTTTATTGTTGCTGTCGTAATTATTATTTTTTTCTCATTTCTTTTGTAAATTTTGTCAAAAAAAAAAAAAATTGCAAAATTCAAAAGTGAGTGAAAAATAGCGGATTACATAAAAATCTTCTTGTTTTGGAAGTTTCAAAAATTGGTTTTCTTTACACATACTTAGATTTTTTTTTCTAAACATTATTCCACTTACTCCACCTTGCTCAAATTCTTTGAAACTAAATATGCAACAGAAAAACAATTTTTATATACAGAAGTGTTGATACAAAATGGCTATTTTTAGCGATTTTATTAAATATTCATGTTATAATTTTCGTATAAATAATATATATATATATATATATATATATATATATATATATATATATATAAATGATAATTTATACGAAAATTATATATATATATATATGTAATTTTATATCTATCTCTATTTGTATCTACATAAATGTATATCAATTTTTAATATCTATCTATCTATTATTAGTATTATTATTAATAATATGAATGCATATTCTGAGGTATATATTTCTGATGAAGCTGACTAGGTGTTTTCATATATTGCTGGCGACTTGAACTGAGTCACCAAATTCATCAACCAACGCCTTAATTTACTGGCTTATTTTCTCCCGACTTGACCCTTATTTGACTCTGTTGTCGGATTTTAATCTTTATTTTCAATTCCTTATAAGGCAGCAAAAATTAATCCAAACATGTTTTGTTAAATTCAACAGACAAGGTCTGCCTGCTTAAGCGTTTCATTGTATCATGCCAATAACATTTTAGTCATGGTGATGAAATATCCGAAAAACCCTGAGCCAAAGAAGAAAAAATGCCAAAATCTAGCCAACAGAATCTTGTCGTCCACCCTGGCAGCAAATAATTCTTGATAATGATCGAATGGGTGAAAAATACTTGAAAAAAAACAGAAACAAAACATATATATGTGGTATATAAAGTAAGATTAGAATGTATGTTTTTCAAAAACCTATGTCAAGGACACGATGTGAAATATTACACACACACAAACATACGTGTATATATACATATATATATATATATATATATATATATATATATATATATATATATATAATGGATAATCATGTGCTGACTGAAAACTGTCCGTTGCATAATCTATATATATATATATATATATATATATATATATATATATATATATTGTCAATTCAGCCGGGTTTCGATCCTAGTTAGAGGCAACCGGATGTCTAGCCACACTGATGAGCTGTGATACAGCGAAACAGTCTGTCTGTGGATGACAATATATATATATATATATATATATATATATATATATATATATATATATATATATATATATATTCCATAGTATAATGATAGTGGACAGTTCATTTTATTTTGTTTTAATAACAATAATAATAATAATAAATAAATAAGAATATAAATAAATAGCAAAACAATTAAAAAATAAAATAAATAATGTTCTATATATATATATATATATGTCAATAATATTTATAATTAAAAAATATATATTAATAAAAATAAAATAATATATGCACATGTTTTTTTTATTAGTACTCAATGAGCAAGATATATATATATATATATATATATATATATATATATATATATATATATAATAATTTTATGTAAGAACAAACAGAATTTAGAAAAAATAGTATGACAAAAGAATTGGAAAAAGTTTTTGTGATGCGTTCTTGCGTGCGTTTCATCTGTTGGGATTTAATCGGACTGTGCATTGTTGATATGGTACCGTCTACACATGCGCACGAAACGAGAGACGCTGGTAGTTTCAAAAGTTTTAAAAGAATATTTTTTTAAATGAATATTTATGAAAAAAATATTTTTCACTCTAGCCAGATTCATCTGTGTTCTTTTTCTTTTACTTTTTCACTCCATCAGCTTTGTTTTTGTGTGAACAGAAAATGCTGATATATTGTAAGATCCTTGGCGCAAATTAAAGGGACATTTAAACACACACACACACACACACACACACATACACACGCACACACACACACACACACACACGCACACACAAATATATATATATATATATATATATATATATATATATATTACTAATCTTTTAACCCCAAGTTAGGTGATAATATCACTTAGACGCAAGAGGTTATTGAGTGTGAAAAAAAAAGCAGAAAATGGAAGTGAAGAGAAAGGACAATAAAAGAACAGGTTTCAGAGGAAAAAGATGATGTCGATTGATGTTGCATTTAAACTTTTGAAGATTGAACGCACAGACGAATGTTACATTTCTAAACGTTCAAGATCCATTCTGGCGAGAAAAAGTACAGCACAGTGAACCGGATTTGCCAGCAGGAAATTCAGTATAATCATTACACGTCATATCAGTAGAAAATGTCATGTGGCTTCTCAATAAGTATTTTCATGACAGTACATCTAATGAGCTCTCTGCCTTGGTACCTCAACGACATGAATTAAAGGGTACTATTAAACTGACAAATAGCTCTTATCGTTTTAGAATTGAATTATCAGGAAGAGGCAGATGAAGTGTCTGGGATACATGATGAGAAAGGAAGACCTGGAGAATGTGATACTCACAGGTCAAATAGTCTTCTTAATAAATTCTTCTCATTCTTTGCGTCTCAGTGGCATTATCACCTTGCTTGGGGCGAAGTGATTAACATAGTATTGAACTCACACTCTTTGGGTCCTGTCACTCGATCTAACTAACGCCTTTATCCGCTGTGCCATGTGTCCTTAAGGATAAGACGTCAAAATAAATGCAACGTTATCTCGGGTCACGAACAACTCTTATGAGAAACAAATCGGTTCACGGACAAATATTCCGAGCAGGAGACATCTCGAGCGAACTAACGCTAGAAAGGGGACAAGGGGACCAAAGGGGACAATGGGGACAAGCCGGGGACAAGCCGGAACCAAGCCGGGGACAAGCCGGGGAGTAATCTGGGACCAAGCAGGGGACAAGCCGGGACCAACCGGGGATTTTTTTGGGACTAACCGGGACCAAGCAGGGACAAGCCGGGACCAATATAGGGGGACAAGCCGGGACCAAGGAGACAAGCCTGGGGACTAGTTGGGACTAGCCGGGACCAAGCAGGGGACAAGCCGGGACCAAGCCGGGGACAAGCCGGGACCAAGCAGGGGACAAGCCGGCGACAAGCCGGGACCAAGCAGGGGACAAGCCGGGACCAAGCAGGGGACAAGCCGGGGACAAGCCGGGACCAAGCAGGGGACAAGCCGGGGACATGCCGGGGACAAGCCGGGAATATCAGATTCGAATTGTTGCTAAGAGACTGAAAAGAGAAAGAGAAGAAACCCTACAAAGACAGTTATCTGTTCTTTGTTATGGAAGAGGTATCCCCCATCCAAGCCATAATATCTCTCCTCTTCATCTTCCTTGTCCATTCTCTCTGACGCCATTTTCTCACCCTCACTTGTGCAGGTAAATAGTTTTGTTAGATTTAAGCTTTTTCATTGGTGTGGTATCTGATCTTCTGCAATAGGTATCGCTGCTAAGGTTTAAATAAACAATCATCTGGCGTTCAGAAACAGATTAATCCATTTTACATTGATTCGTTTGGGAAAAAATAGTTTCGGTTTACGAACCTTTCGGCTCACGAACGGCCTTCAGCAACGAATTAAATTCGCGTACCGAGTTTCTACTGTGTAACAATTCGAAGAAACTTTGCAAAGTGCTATGAAATATCGGACATTTTTAAAAATAAACTGACATTTGAAAAATCGACGATGGCATTTCAGAAGATTTACCCACACTTAATTTGCTGTGAAATCACCCAGTGACGATCATTGACTAAAGATAATAATACGTGGATGTTGACAGAAATATGAAGAATTTATGAATCGAATAGATGTGCCTATTATTATTATAGCACTGGGAACAACCTCGAAGTGTCTCCCAAACACATTAAGGAATGGAAAACCAGAAAAAAGGAAAAAAATTCAGAAGATTTACCCACATTTAATCTGCTTTGAAATCACCCAGTGAAAACCATTGACTACAAATAATAATACGTGGATGTTGATAGAGATATGAAGAATTTATGAATCGGCTTTGGTTTGATTTGATTTGTTTTACGGCATATCAACCTCATTGGGTTATTTAATACGGACAAGATTTTTATTGCTGGTAATATTTTTGCCCAAAAAACGTATCGCTGGTAATAATTATTTTCTTTAAAATTCATTGCTGGTAATAATTTTTACAAAAATATATTGATCGTATTAAAACCTATTTTTATACTTTCGTAGTGCTTTGGCCCCAGTTCGGAGGTTAACTATTTGCCAATAGCTGGGACCCTATCAGGTACTACCACGGAGGGTCATAGTGGACCTAGGAACACCGTGATTCCACGCTCTTCAAACCTAATCTCAGGCTTGCTGTTTGATGTATTTTATCATTTTACCCAGGACGCTTATGAATCGGTTATATTGTGCCTACTATTATTAGAGCACTGGGAACAATCTCTAATTGTCGCCCAAGGAGGTTAAAGAAATGGAAAAACAGGAAAAAATTGAAATAATGTCGACAGAATCCTGAGGGATTTCATTCTCGATTATCGGACATATTAAAGTAGTTCATTTTGGTTAATCAAAAGATAAACCTCGAAGAAATAATTCATTAAATACGTTTTTTTTGATGTATCTGATGCCATTTCTATCAAAGGAATACAATGCACATATATGTTTTCGAACTCATTTACAAGAAATTGTTTCAAATTAAAAACATAAATAAATATTTTTTTTAACGCAATGTCATCTTCTCCATTCAACAAATTGTCAATAAACTCTTCGGAGTTTTGACTAGATTGAACAGTGTAAATACAGTCAACGACGAAATTATTCGTACACCCCTCAATTTTGAATATTTTTTTATCAATTTCCCAGAATCTAATGCCCATATGATGCCAGTTTATATATTAATAAGCACGAAATGAATATAAAACTCTATATTCAGAACAATAGGTTAAATACAGCAAATTTAACAGGCGAATTATGCAAAATAGCAAAATGCAAATTAATTCTTTCATACCCAGGCAAAATTTCTGCCATCATGAGAACTGATGAAAATTCTTTCAAGATGAGATTGATATCTGATTTTGGGTGGAGAAACCGGTTTGAAATAATTATTGACACATGATTTGGGAAAAATGCAACATTTCATTGTTAAGTCAAAGATAAGATCATCTGTCTTTCCATTGTGTTGTTGCCAAATAACAATCTTAGAAAACAACCACGTGATGTTGAACCATGGAATTATAGTTATCAAATATTCTACTGAAAAATTGTCAAGAAATTTTCACCGATAAAATAATTATATTTTAATTATTCGAATCAATCAATTTAAAACGATGTTTTTACTGACACGAATAATTTTGAAAAAAAATTTAAATAATTCATTTTCAAATTTGTTGTATTTATAAAAAGTTATTGTTCAGTGAATGTTTTATGTACATTTATTGCGCTTATTAACATGTAAAAGCAAAAGCAACAAACGGACAGAGAGGTGAGAAATGGATAGAAATATTCAAAAGTAGAAATGAGGTTTGAATAATTTGGAGGAACTTGTATTTTTGTCATTCCTTCACTTGAACTCAAGTTATCTATTTGTGTCACAATAACCATTCTGTTGGCTCGTACTTGGCCGTAAAGCCTCTATTCATTTCTCGCACCGATAAACAGTTCTTTTCTCCCAGGCGATATTTTTAACAACAAAACATAGAGCATTCTTGTTATAAAAGATATTAGAGATTGTTTATTTAACATATATAAAGTCATCAAATGAAGTCATCTTAAACAATAATTAATATATTTAATACATTGAATAAGTTAATCACTGCCAGCATAATATACAAATATAAAAGTGGAGAGTGATGTTAAAAACAAGGAACTCAAAGATAGAAACCCTATTCATGCTTCAACGAAGCATGAATAGGGTACTGAAGATTGTGTTGACGCAAGAAACAGACTGTCGCCGCATGCTGTTGACCTCACTGTTCACTTTTATATTTACATATATTCTATTTCATTGCACATTTATCGATAAAAATATCATACCTTAAATTGTAGTTTATCATTATATATATATATATATATATATATAATTAAGTAATTTATCGAGTCTAGAAGAAACCACTGGACAGCCATTTTGTCGTATATTAAACTCATGCCAATGCGCATCCACTACCGAGAATTGAAACCCGGACAGTTACGTTATTAGGCGAACGTCATACCAACGGTTCCATCGACGAAGAAGTAGCCAATCAGACTCGATATAGCGCCAATGGATCATATATTCCGTTGGATCTCATCCGAGTTTTTTATCCATAGGACTGTACCCCACCCACGAACCCCGACTATGATTTGCCCAATCCCTGCCCATCCAGAGCATTATTTAAAAGTGGTTATATAATAAAATTAATATTTAATAAATTATATTATTTAGTAATATATATATATATATATATATATATATATATATATATATATATATATTATAAAATAATATTAACTATTAATAAATTATATAAATTAAAACATAATAATAAATATTCATTTTGTCCTCAGACGGTATTTTCAGTGTATATAATATATATATCCTGTTTGAAAATGATCATTGATAGATTATACATCAAGAGCTGTTTGATTTCAACACGCATAACCATTTATATGCAATAATTATTTATATATATATATATATATATATATATATATATATATATATATATTAAATATATATATAAATTATATCATAAAGAAGTAATCATACAAAGAATTAATAACTAATGTTAATGTAATTAAAGGTGAAATCGCTTTGCTAACAGATTTAAATAAAGCATTAACTCACTAACTACCATATGTTTAAAATTGTAAGACTGATTAGATGTTCCGTTGCTAGTACTTTCGAAAATCATTCATTGTTTTTCATCATTAATTTTTATTTTTTTTTTTTCAGGTAAATTTTCAAGACAAAAATAAAAATATTGCAGGCGAAAGTGTTTTTTTAAGAGTGTATTATTTTTCCTGGTCAAAAAACAATTTTGGAGCGTCACAACAAAAAAAACATGGATTTGTTGTATTTTAAATATTTTAAGTGTGAACATTTTATTGAATATAGCAATGTGCCAAATCCACGAATTCTTTAGTTGTAAATGTTTTTTCAGTTAACATAACATGGACAAAATTGTTCAATCATTAGAGTAATGTCTTAGTTGTTGTTCCAGAAATTTTGTACTGAAAGGAAAAAGAAAATATTAATGCCTGATGATGAAAATATGATTATTTTCGAAAGCACTACCATCGACGGAACATTTAATACATTTTACAGTTTAAAACATAAACGTCATTCAATGAGAGGTTAAAGAGAGTTAATGCTTTTTATTAAATCTGTTAGAAGTGATTTCGCCATTAATTACATAACCTTTACTGATTAATTGTTTGTATGATTTCTTTATAATATATATATATATATATATATATATATATTCGTTTTGAAGATTCGAAATGCATTATGATGACGAATTTATATCAAACGTGCCTAACCTTATGTTTAACGTTCTTTTAAACAGAAAAATGCCTTTAATAAATAAATGGATAGCAGCGTAAATGACGGTTCCGTATAGGATGCAGTGTTCGAATCCTGTCAAAGGACGAATATTTTCTATGAAAATTTCTCGACATTCAGGCCGGTAAATGTTATTTAATACTGTTTATTATAAACAGAGCATTTACTTAAATATTTGTATCTATAAAAAAAAAAAAGAACGTTAAACATAAAAATGTTTTAATAAATAAATTGTCGGACTTTGTCCATTTCTTAATATATATATATATATATATATATATATATATATATATATATATGCTTTTAGAATTATTATTAATTGATATAAAAAATTCTTTCTGATCGTATCCATAATAATTTCAGATGTGGTTGCAATAATTTTGATCTTGTTTATATAGTAGATGTTAAGGAGTTAGTAGAAAGTATTACATATCTGTTTTTTAATTAGTTTATTGTCATTCTTATTGGGGTCGTTGTTATTAATAGCGTTATCTTTTTTGTAGTTGTATATTTTGCATGACATTCTCTCAGCATTGGGGATGAAATAAAGAGGATATTGGAGCTTTTTAAAGATGTTTTCTATGTATATTTCTTTTCGGGTAAACATTGTGGGCAACAGATTCTTAATTCACGTAAAATAGAAATCTAAAACTATTCGAGATTCTATTACGTTGCAGTGGTGAGAATAGAAATTAATAAGCCTATTCTTCTTGGTAAATTTTCTTTAAGCCTTTAACTGCAGGTCATTATTAGTTTTACGTAGCATGATATCTAGGAACGGTAAAGGATTGTTAGTCTCAGATTTAAAGTTAAAATCTAATGTCATTTCTAGGTTATT